CTACATTTCTGCTTATCCCTCAATCATTTTTTTGGTCCTCATTCTTTACCGAAGCATGTTCGTCCTCTTCTTCATTGTAAGCAAGTAAAGCCTTAAATTCCTTCAGGGCGAGGGCTGTCCCGAACGAGGAAAGAAGACAAGCGGGCACCAAGTAGAGTAGGGCGGGTTGAGCTGCTTTGAAGTAGTTCATGACGAATATGGTCGTCCCTAGGCCTAGTCCGTACGCCAGAAAGCATACATGGAAAAAGGGTTTGGAGAAGGCGGCGGAGGGACTGGCGCGGGGTGATACAGATTTACGCTCCGCGTCGTAACGTAAGAGAAGGGCAATGAATATGCCAGGAATCACGATATCGCCGAGCCCGAGCATAGAGTGCTGAGCCTTCGTGGAAGCAGTCGCTAGCACGCGAGGAAAGAGAAGCTTGATGGGCGCATCGAAGGATTTGGCTACGGTGACCATGACTTCAGTTCCAAAAACCCAAAAAATGTCATAAAAGAAAAGCCCGGTCAGCAGTATGGCGCCGACTTTGTAAGATCCCAAAGAGATGCGCTCCAGTCCTTGAATACAAAACGCGATACCGAAGCCGTTGTTCAGCATCCAGTGCTTCGACTGGAACCAACACCCGGCTAGCGCTACTGCCACTACGCCTGCAGCCAGCTCGGCCTGCGTGAAGCGCAAATCCATCTTGCCCAGAAGTGGAAGTGAAAAAGGTCCCACACCGTATGAAGCTGAGGATCGCAGAACGTAGGCGGCGGGGGGCTCAAAGGTGCACGTCAGCATGGCGGCGCCAATGATGGAGAAGTAGACTGCAAGCAGCCAATTTACCCAGTCCTTGTCAAAGAATTTAAAAGCCGCGTAAAGACCGAAAAGCACGCACGATCCGATCAACGGGAACTTGTAGGCATCCTCCTTTGAAATGGTCTCGAGCTGGTCCTCGTCCGACATGGCACCCTTGTCTCGGAGCTGCAACGACCTGTGACAACCGATGTAGATGATCGCCAGGGATGTCGCCAACAGGTTGAAGGTGACCGGAATCAGCACCACATTGGACATCGACCAGAGCCCAAAAAGCAACACATAGGCCGCTGGTAGTATGTAGTTTGTGCTGGTGGGTGTCACGTAGATTTTAGAAACCCATTGCGTGCGAACCAGTATCTTCCCAGCCGCTCTCCCGCCAGCATCCATCAAGACGATCCACTTTTGCAATTGCCATAAAAAATTTGTGAAAGAAATACAAATCAGCTTTCAATCTTGGACATTCATATTTGATCAACAAAGTCCTTTGAAGATAATGGGCTAATCATGTCCTCAAAGTGTCAGTCAAGGCTTACGGCCAGCGCAAAACCCGAAACAACATCTCAATCAATCCCGCCTGTAAGTTGCAATTTTAAATGTTTTAACTGAATACGTACATCCTCTGTTGTTTCCGCCTTGTCGTGGGGGAGACTCGCCGTGCACAGTGTGCTATCTCCATGCTGTTAAGATGGTTCGACGAGCAACTTGTTAGCATCAAGACGGGTTAAAACTAGTCCAAGAGATGCCGATCATACGGACCCATCACAAACCTTGAGTGCGATAGTGAGGGGCGTAGTGTGGTCATGTCCGTGCCCGTACAGGTAGAAAGTCTTTGCCACTTTGAGAGGCTGGGAGGGTTAGGCAGAGGACGTGAAAGTGCCGAGGTGAGCACAGATGTTCAATCGCCAGGTCTGTCTTATACCGACTGTACTACAACAACAGCATCCAATCCCTCATAGTAGGTACAACTCACCCCTTCTCCAGTCTCTGCGGGGGGTTTGACATCAAATGTGCTCGTCTTTCCCTCCAGCTGCAACTCAACCATGTCGACGGTGCTTCCCAGGCCTTTCACCTCAAGCAAGGAGACCCGCCAGTCGCCAGAGGGGGACTGCGGCATCGTGGTAGCGTTCATTGAGAGTACAGCTATGACACAATTCGAATCAGATGCGCCTGTGGTGTATTCAGTAGCACACGATAGTCAAAAAAGGGACGCGTGCACGGAATTTCGTTTTCCTAGTTTTCCTAGGGGGCCAGCGAGCGAGCGAGGCCAGGCCGCCCGACCGCCACCCTCCAAGGTCCTGTGCTCTCGGCAGCGTTACGAGAAGTTTTGACGCGTGAGAAAACGTCTATCTCTACATTTTAAACCTCTTCTTGCGAGATTTTTAATTTTCCTCTACGTTTCTGAAGTTTTCTAGCCTTCCACATCGGTGAAGACGTAAAGGATAGTTGAGTCCGCATAATGATGCTGTACTCAATATGTGTAAAAAAACTCGAAATAGAGAGGGGTCAAAATAGAAAGGTGCCTTCTTGCGCATTTAATAACCGCTTGGAAAGCTAGGAAATTGTGTCAATTCATAAAAAGTCGCCAGCCTCCGCAATGATGTTGCCCACGTAGTAAAGTATGCCTTGTAGTATGTGCTATGCAAAAGTTTGGATTACCAAAAGCTCTCAGATGTGGAGAATAGCGTATTGATAACTTTTGCTCATGTATCTGACGGGCTATTAGTAAAAGTACACATTTATAAGTTTCCCATCGTCGAGCCGTGCTTCATCAATTTCGCATAAGATAGAAAACTCTACTCGACTACGTCGTACTTGGTGCATCGATACAAGTCATGCATAAAGGTTGTCAGCCGCTGTATTGATTATTTTTTCAACAAGACGCATTTTCTTTCACCTGATCGCTGGAAACAGGAGAATCAATTTTTTAAGGGGGTCGAGGCAAGGCACATCTGACGTTACCTCGTGTTCGTGGGGGCCACGTAATCTCTAGGAGAGTCAATCACCGTAGGGGCGAACAGAGATGTTTCGCATATAGAGGAAGTCAGGCGACATGAAGTCTGGGCCTGACTGGACTAAAGGTACCTCTCGGTGAGGGGCACAGGTTATGGTGCTCCACTAATGGCCCATTTTGGGCTCTGCCGACAGACCCCGGGACCTCTGAGCGAGACGCCTGGAAGCACACCGCATCCGGTAGCCTTCTCCACCCAACACTCCAAGGCCACGCTGAGCGGTGTCTATCACTGCAAGGCCTGGGTCCAGATGTGACAATAGAAAAGCAATAACGAAGCATCTTTCCAGACCAATACTGCTAAAGAAGAAAAGTAGTACAGGATCGTACAGATATTCTTTTCTTTCTTTCACTCACAGACATCAAATTTGCCAGTCATGCTTCTCCAGCACGGCCCATACCTCATTTCGGCGAGTGCCAACGGAAAATATGGCATCATACTGACAGAGAGTGTAGGTTTGCGCTGCTGCTGGGGTGGGAACTAACTCGTCGGCAGCAAGAAGCTCGACCAGCCTGCTCGCATAATACTTCACTACGGGCGCTGTGGCCGGCACCTCAAACCGCAGCACAGCAACAACCTGAACAGGTACGCTGGTACGGCGGATGATTTCATCGGCAGGAGCGGGTATGGCCTGTGACGACACCACGCCCCCCACCTGATCCAGGTCTTCGTTGCTAAACCCCACGGGCCACATCATGGTCTTATCTTTCTCGTTCTTGTCGATGCGCATGATAGACGGACTAAAAGGCTTGAATTTACGATTTTCGACATTCCATCCCGACGCGTATGTACCTAGGCGGTCATAGCCTTCAGGGCGTGTGTTGTAGTTTGTCTCGACTGCCTCGAAGGCCGGGTATCTCCTTACCTCGTACTCAGGTGCCCGACGCAGTAGCTCGAAAGGAAGTTCCGCATTCATAGCCTGTTGAGCTCCCCCCGCACCCGGTGCCAGCTGCTTTAAGAAGTCCTTGAGGCCTGTCAGCAGAGGCGCTGGCCGATACTCCCCTTCCACAAGGTTGATGCTGTCCCAGTAGTCCGTCTGCCTCACCACGCGCGCCTGCTCGTCTAGGTCATACAAAGAGACACCTGTAAAGCGCGCCATTGGCCCCCAAGGTAGGACCTTAGCACGCAAACGCAAGGTCCAGCGCGTTAATAATTTACGAGGTCCCAGATCCTCGATATTATGCAGCACGATACCAGCGTCGCTGAAGAGGATTCCACCCAAGAGGGTGCGTGAGCCCAGCATGTCCACATTTCGTTGATATGAATCAACGCCCCGTAATCTTGTGAGAGGATCAACGAACTCGACATCTGGCCGGTACATGTCTCTCTCCATGGGTGCGAAGAAAGAGGCGTATTCTCTCCGAAGTGTCTTTTTTAGGTTTTCTTTTTTTTTTTGGAACGCTTCGTCTCCAGAAGTAGGAGATGACGAAGATGCAGTGGGAAAAGATGAAGAAGGTGAAGAAGACGCAGAGGACGAGGAAGAAGAAGATGACAGGAAAGTGATGAGGGGATGGCGGGAGGAAGGGGAACAGGAGGAGGGGGGGAGGAAATAGGAATAAGGGTCCTGACGATGGGCATAAAACCCTTGGCCATCCATAGGTGCCGTAATGAATCCCTGAATTTCATATGGGAAAATCAACAGGATGACAAAGCGCGCAAGTGTGGCGGAGCTTCCATGCTGTCCGGGCATGGCTAATGCTTCCCCGACCCCTTAACTCCTCGTCAGCCCAAAAGCGAACTCAACAATTGTCTCGCTCCCTGCAGTGTGAATTGGAAAATATGAGTAAATCAGAAACATTTGCTACAACTCCGGGTGCAAGGAAGGCCTACGGCTTTATCCATGGACGTGGCCTTGGTATCCTTGTGTCCCTCCTTCGGGTCGCTGCACCCCGTGACTCACGCACTTAAGACCCTGCGTTCAAGCCACCGAACTCAATTAACCTGTGCGACCCCGCTTAACAGGTATACAGTCCTTCTTTGCTTGAGTGTATTTCATTTTGATAATCCCATGGAAATAGTGATGGCAATCTGTGCTCTGGACGGGTGAGGTTTGGGTTGATACAGCCTCCCATATGCTTGCTAGCCCTTTCACTACGGTCATGTTTCCTCGCTCTCTCCCTACACGATACGAAGTAGCTCACAGGCCAAACGGGATGGATGCACTGATCGAGGCCTTTGTTTGTGCCTCCCAGAAGGTTGGCCATGCACAATCACAACAAAATGTCCAATGTTGTCCACAAGCGTCAGCTTCCAGTCTTACAACTCCATCGAGTTTTGGTGGGAGCTTCGTGAGAAATGATGCCATGGCGTATAACAGGAGTCGTGCTACCAGTCCCGTTACGCTTTGCAAAGCTGCTGTTCTTATACCTCTTTTCGAAAACCGAGAAGATGGCAAGATACATTGCTTGCTGACCGTTCGACCGTCGCACATGCGAGCTCATGCAGGAGAGGTGTGTTTCCCTGGCGGGAAACTAGACGATGGGGAGGATGTCGTGTCTGCAGCGCTGAGGGAAGCATGGGAGGAGGTCGGACTTGCACCCAAGGTAGTGCGTGTGCTAGGAACAATGACCCCGACCCTCTCACTTCATCTCTACGAAGTTACACCCGTGGTAGCTGTTATACCTCCTGACTTCGTCGCACAGCCCAACCCTGAGGTGATGAAAGAGCGAGAGAAATGGACTCGGATGACTACCATAGTGACAAATTACTTGTTCCCCTTTGTATTATTACACCTCTTGGTGTCAATCACAGGAGGTTGCCGAGGTATTTTCTTGTCCGCTCAGCCTCATCATGTCCCCATCACCTGGCCAACACACATGTCAAGATTTGCACTGGTTTAGCGCCTGGCGGATGCACAAATTTCGGCATGCAGATAAATGGGATGTGTGGGGTTTGACAGCTGAGACCCTGCTTCGACTTGTCATCTTTTGCTTTCCTGAGCACCCTTTCCCATATGAAACATGTCATCCCGACGGAACACACATGGAAACATGGTATCGAAGGGTGCTGGCACTCCCAGAATTTCATGAGCAAGCACAGGCAGCTGAAAGTAAACGCGCAAGAAAAGCAGGCAGCCGCGCTAATAGACAAAGCCGCAGGTCGCTCACAGGTGAAAAGAAGTCTTAGCTGTGGAGTTGGGGAATGTTCTGTCTTCGAAGAAATTTTATATACATCGTCAGGAAAATGTACAAAGTAAGGGGAAAAAGAAAATAATAGAGCATGCCCCGCAAACGCTGCCACGGAGGAGTTGAGGCAGCACTACTATTTTATGCGTTTAGGTCTTCGCTACTTTTATGTGCTTCCATTTTTGCCCCCTTTCGCCCGTACATTACAATCTCACAGCCCTACTGCTATTGTTCTTGTGACTGTTTCTCTAATTGCGTTTTTCGTTCTCGCTAATAGGCTCCACTCGGAGGCAAGCGCCGCAAGCGCGTGGACTCAGCGTCCGGCCCATATCCCGTTCCTCTCGCTCCCTCCTCTCGCTTTGGAGCGAGGGCTCGGGCACGTACATGTCACACACGGGCTTCGATTCCTCTCACTTTAAATCCGCATGCAATAAGATAGTGACGTTTAATCTGTTTCATGCTGTCAGTATGGAGTTTAGAGCTGCGTTAGTGCGAGTAGGTACAAATGTGACTTTCTCTTGGGGGTGAGCTTTGCTTTCCTCAAGTTACCGTGGGGGGAATGCGCAGGAGCCTGCAAAGCAGATGTTTAGTCATGTGGTGCCCCAAATTAATGGCTCATTATGGCATAAGACGTTTTAGATGAATGACACTCCACGTAGTTGACATTGTGATTGAATTTTTATCTTGACCGTTCTTCACATTGATGAAGCAGCATGACACTCATTTGCTACTCTCCCTCTTCAGAACGTCGCTGACCCGACTTGTACATCGTTCAGGTGTAATGGAGCCTGGCGGGGCAGGATTACTTCGTGAAAGTACAAGACCCTTCCTGATTTTCTCAGGCATCCATATTTCCGTCGTTTTGATTCTCGTCCTTTATGCCGCCGCTATTCCATCCTCTGGAGCACTTGTCACCTCCATCCCGCACCAGCCATGCAACAATCATGTGGAATCGAAGGCGGCCATCACAATCCATACAGTTCGAGGTAGGATTTCACGTTGCATATTCGTTAATATGTCCCTTTCTTATTGGTCGATCGGTCGCAAACTTTCCGCTCATTTCATTTTGAAATCTAGGAGACCTTCCAGTGCGAGCCGGTCAAATCTTTGTTGTGGAGGTATATGCGACACCCAGTGCTGTACTGGATGGTGGAAAAATTACCATGGTTGTCAAGGCGATGGGAGTGACTGTCTCTTCTCGTGCTTTTGGCATTTGTGAAGATATAGACCTTACGTGTCCTGTAGCACCAGAACAGAGCGTCAGGGCGCTGTTCCGTTTTCCCGTGCCATGGTACGCGATCACGATGCGGGCGGATGTAGTGATTACGGCTACGGACACCGAGGGCTCACCGCTCGCTTGCGTGGAGGCCCCACAGATCCCCGTCGTGCGCAAAGGCCACATAGAGCCCGTGCTTTCAGGAGCAGGCGAATTCCTTGGCGCGCCCAGCCGTCACTGCGCGGGTTATGATGGAGGCGGAGGTGATTGTATGTGCAGCGCCTCAAGCCCCTTTCACGATGATGCAAATCGCTGCCATCATCTGTGGGTAGGTAAGCAGTGGTGCCTGAGGTGGCACGATGCGTTCGCCGACCTTCTCCTTTCCTTGTAAATAACGTTACATCGCGTGGCTCTTTTCTATCTTCTTCTCCTGCGAGAGAATGAATGAACACCTACATTTCATGCTTCAAATTGGTGATTGGTAAATTCAGACGCTTGCAGGAGGCAGGTTCGCATCCAAGATGTCCCCTAGAGTCTAATCTTCTTTCATGGGTTTATCGCTAAGAGAAAAAATGTATCCCCCTCCATGCTACTCCGATCATCATGATTTTTTTTACAATTTCATATATATATATATATTACATATTTCATTCTTTATTATTCAGTCACTCGGAGATATCACACTACTTGCTACTTTATTCGTGTGAAACGTACGTGTACTGACAAAACTTGTAAGTATATCGAAGCGGCACTGGGATTCCTTTGTTCACATTTCCCCGAATGCCATACGTGTTGTGTTTTTCATCAAGGATGGGAGGCTGCGTGAGCCTGCCGGGTGGGAGAGTTTGTTGCTACATCTACCAAGTGCTGGATAGAATGCCGAAGTCTGTGGAGGCGTCTGTGACGACAGCCAGGCGAGGAGACGGATAGAGTGTTGGATGAGCCCGAATTTGAATGTGAAGTCGTGATGGATGACTCGGAAGCGGCGTGGATCGATCGGTGGCGTTGGTGCCGCAAGTTTCTTTTGCTAAAGGCCTTGTCCACCAAAGCATGGCCAGAGGCCATCGTGTTTGTAGGCGCGGGCGGTGTACCCTTCATAAGGGAAACAAACTCCTCATAGCTTATCTTGCCGTCTCCGTCCGTGTCAACCTCGGCGAAGACTTCCTGCACTTGCTCGATTGTCATGTCTGCGCCCACAAGCTCGCCAAAGTTGCTTTGGGATATGTAACCCGTGCGATCTGAGTCAATGCGCTGGAAAGCAAGCTGGATATGCTCCTCATCCAGGAGCGCAGCATCCATCGTAGCCGCCAAGAACTCGTGCCAAGATATTGTGCCCGCGTGCTGATGCGCGACGTCTAACCCCTGCACCAGGGTCTCCAAGTCACCAGGACTGAGGAGGCCTGACGCTTCAAGTGCTTGTGACAGCTCCTCTAGGGTGATCTCTCCGTTGCTATCAAGGTCCACCTTCTCGAACTCTCGGCGCAGATCCTTGATCTGCTCGGACCGTAGGCTGAAAGCTACCACCTCCATAGCCACCTTCTTGAGCGTGCTAAATTCGTGGAAGTTGCGGAGGGAACCCAGAATATCAACATGCAAAGGCTCAGGCGATTGGTCCCACGAATGCAGCCATGGGTGTGCCTGTGCCTGCCGCGCCGTCATGCGTCGCGTGTGATCCACAACGAGCAGTCTCGATATGAAGTCTTTGGCCTGCGCTGACACCTGATGGAAAGCAGACGGTGGAAAGCTAAATTTGCCTGCTCGCACGCGTATCAAGGTTTCATTATCTGTGTCACCGTAGAACGGCGGACGGCCGCTCAAGAGCATGTACGCGATGACGCCGATAGACCACATGTCGCACTCCTGCGTGTATGATCCCTCCAGCACGGAGGGGTCCACGTAGTAAGGCGTGCCCACAGGCCGATGCATGCGCTGGTCGTCGCTGAAGAGCAATAAGAGGAAATGCGAGTGAGTGAACAATTACTTCGACACGACTAGCGTGTGACATCCTAGCGAACATCTTCCTGCGAAGTCAATGCAAATTCGAGAACTGTTGGTAGTGCCACCAGGAAAGTGGACACTGCCTTTTACTGTCTTCACCGCAGGAATATAATGATGGCTTACCGATAGTGACGCGATAGGCCAAAATCAATGAGCTTGAGCTCGGCATCTGCACCCTCGTTTTCGAATAAAAAATTCTCGAGTTTTAAGTCTCTGTGAGCAATGTGATGATCGTGGCAGTAGCGGATTGCACCCACCATCTTCTTAACGAGCTGAGAGGCAATCTGTTCCGAATAATGATGACCCTCCTGTCGGTGCAATTTGTCTAGAAGCTCGCCCCCCGTGCAGAGCTCCATAATGAGAAAAATATGGTCATCCGTCTCAAAGGTCTCGTAGAGCTGCACGATATTTGGATGATCGAGCTCGCTCATAATGCGAACTTCGTTCCGCAGGTCTGCCAAAGAGGCCTTGGATTTCAGCCGATTCAAGTGCAGCGTCTTCATGGCGTAAGTGTTGCCAGTTGTCAGGTGCCGCACAACCCGGACCATTCCGCTGATCCCTGTCCCCAAAATTTTGCCTTTACCAACATCATAGACCTGTAATCGTTGAGTCGTGTTGATTTTACAGAGTTAACTGGGAAATTTTCGGAAAACGGTACAATTCGAAGAAGTATCTGTCTTGCTTAGAAAAGCATCATCCCACAGGAGACCCTTATTTGATTTCCCGTCTTTGACGCATGAAAAAGTCGCAAGAAATTGAATCAATTGAGGTTATTGAAAATGAAATCTCGTGCTTATACATTGCAGGCTTGAAAAGGTCGAAGGGATGGTAAACACGCAGAAGCTACGTGCGGTAGACGAATATTTCCACCGCCGGGAATATCACATATCTCGCCCAGTAGTACGTTCACAGTACAAATTTAGTCCTAATTTACCTCGTCAACTTTCAGTCTGTACTCCTCGTGCACCAGATTTTGGATTAAGTGTTGCGTTTTCCTCCGAACGTGCGCTGATTTTTCCATGTCTGATTCGCGATAGGTGTGAGGTACGCCGGCAGGGCTTGAATAAAGGCACCCCATGCCCTCAGCCACCGATATTTCCGATTCGTGCAGGTAATTTTTCCCTCGTTTGAATGCTGTCCCTGCATATGCGCACAATGTCAAAAGAGCACATGATCAACTGTGAAGCACTCCTCAACGGGTCGCGACAAGCTGGCTAACAGCTTGCTTCGATGATAAGAATTTGAGCGATCAGGAAACGTGGAGTATTTATTTTCCATGGAACAGCACAGAAATCGACTACGATAGAATCTTCTGTACGAAATAATGAGCCTTTCCTTCCCCGGAGGCGAAGGAGGGAGACGGAGACGCAACCCGCAATCAGTGGGCGATAAGCAAAACAATGAGAAAAAGGGGTACTCTGAGACGCGACAGTTCGACCTTGACATCGCCTTGTTCTGCTATGTCGAAGGTTGAACGCGATTTTTTGCGGCAAGCGTGTGGCATGTAAGTCAAGAACGCAGGGAAGGTACGAGGGCTTGCGACCGGACCTCCTCGACAAAGACGTCGGGTGTCGGAAGGAGGAGTCAGACCGTTACTGGGCCCACTAGGGGCACATCCAGTGATCCTCCACCCCATGTCACTTCTGATATCTCTGTTAAACCATTCATGGCATCGCCCCCTACCTCATAGTATCCGCACACTTTGAATTAATGTCTTACTGCCCTATGAGCACCAGCTGAGCGCCCTGGTGTCGTAATTATTGTAATCCCCAGCCGTTGGCCCATATTATTCTCTCTCGCTCATGATTCATGCACATTTTTGTATGTCTTTTTGCACAGATTTAACAGAGTATACAATGAAGTTCTGCTCACATATGCTCATTATGGCACTGGCCATCGCATTTCTTGTGCATAAGACGACCGAAGCTGTTGGTAATAACGGGGCACGTTCGCGGCTAGTCTCCAAGCTGAAGCGCGAGGTCGCAGCGAAAGAATTTAGCTCGGCCAAGTACCACAACGCAGTACTCAACAAAATTGAGCATAAGGGAAATAAAGAGTGGTCTGCTGTTGGAGGCAAAGAAGCGATCTCTCCTGAAAGTAAATCGGACCTTGTAGGAGAAGAAATGCGTTTCCTAGAGGAAGCGGAGGAAGAGGTTGAGGAAAACGATGAGGAGGAAGATGAGGACGATGATTGGGACGACGATGAATTTGAAGATGATGATGATTCAGAGGTGGAGGAGAAGGATGCCTCACCCATCAAAAATCAGCCTGCTTTACAGGGCGAAGTTCTCATCGTAGAGGGGTCCGACAAGGATGACTTGGCGGCAGCGTTAAAACAAGTCGGTGCCACGAATGAGGACATTGAAGAAATCCTTGAAGAGGAGGCGGCGTTTGAAAAACTGGAAAACGAAATTGAGCATGCGATGGACGCCGACTCAGGAACGCCAAATGAGGCCGAAGCTGAAGAAGCAGGATGGAAGACAGGAACAGATAAAGCTGCAAAAGCAATGACGCAAAAAGAAAGTGACGCCAACAAAGGAAAAGTAGCCGCCGACGTCGACAATCTGGAGGAGGGAGATACGATGAAAATGGATGAGGAAAGTAGGGGAGTGGACGAAAGTGACGAAGATAAGGAACAGGATGAGGATGAACACGACGAAGACGAGGACGGGGATGACGACGAAGACGAAGATGATGAAGACGAGGACCAGGACCAGGACGGCGAAGAAGTCGAGAACGAAAATGAGATTGAGGACGAGGATAAAGAGGGGGAACATAAAAATGGACTAGACAATACCGTGGAAGCAGAAGGGATTATTAATGATAGAAAAGAGGACAAAAAGGGCGTAAGTGAGTTCAAGGACGGGCAAGCTTCAATGGCAACGGACAAAAGTAGTACAATTGCTGGTCGCCTCGTGGATCAATCTTATACACAACAGGATTCGGCATCGACATCGACGCTAGCAGCTTCGGGCGAAACGAAGTTAGATAAAACGCATGGTGCAGGTAGAAACAACTTTTGGATCGTATCAGGAATTGGTGGTGTAGTACTAGTGGCAGCCTTACTGATCTCGAGAAATCGACGTCGATTCTCAAATGGTAATAATATGCTTAATACTACGGCTTTTGGGAGCGATGTTAACCACGATCCTTTCGGAATGGATGCGAATTCCTCAGTCACCCAGCACTATGATCAATATAGGCGAGTAACAACCCATGATTCTAGAGCTGCATAAGTACACCGTGAAAATGGATTTCGTATGATCTTATATCATTTGCAAAAGTTATTATCAGATTACGGAAAGAGAAGATCTGAAACTCGCTTTGGAACACTTTTAAGTTCGGAATTCAAAAAAAATTTGGAGGGTTTCGGGGGTGGGACCAAAAATTTGCATCATCACGTCGTGCTAAAGAATAGATTACGAAATTTTATAGTCAGTCCACGCAGAGCTATATGTTGTTTTATTTTGACAGAGTGTTACCATGATTTAAGCTCTCATTCATTAAATTTTCTATGGACTCACATTTTAACCCTCGAGAATGAATGAGGCAAAGACCGTTCATTAACAAGAGACGGTTCACTCTGCTTTTCGCGAAGAAGGGGAGAAATGACAACTTATCAAAGGAAGAAAAGAAAAATGTGATAAAATCAGTAACTGAATCTTGATGGTTGTACGCAGTCGAGAAAAGTGGAGCGTAAAATTAAAATATCGATGACGTCTTTTGAGCTCTGCGTGTAATTTGGAGTATTCCACGCCAATGAAAAGCGGCAAGAATTGATGGATTGTACCTCTAAAGTGTCTCTGCTCCGCACGATGCAACATCGTGTGGTAGCTAGTCTAGCGAAGCTTTTATCTATGATTATGCAACTCGGAATAATAGAAAGGCCTCTGATACCCTTGAGTATCATCATATAACAAAAATCAGTTAAATTATGATAGGAAAAGTACATATTTCCGCTCTAATCCATTGCTTTCAGCCAACCTGGATGGTCAAATATCTTAATCACATATGAGCAATCGAATTTCGACTGTTATCGGCCAAGTCGATGTGTAGATGGAGTCGCGTGCTCTTCAAAATGCGGGTTGCGTACGTTCTTACAAAAGCATCACATGTCTGTCAGGAAATTATAACGCAATCCTCGACTTCATACCATGCATATGAAGATAACCCTATCTGAAACATTTTCAAGGGACCGTCAATTTATGCCCGCTATGAAGACCCTATATGACAATTCCTTTCTTGCATTAGTGCATAGTTACACTTTCATTCTCTTTCATTTTGTTTTGCCCGAGTACGTTTCCTTCTCAGACTTCGGAAGATTTTCCATGAAATGAACGACTAGTAAAGGTCTATTAACACCTTTTTAATTTTTTTACCGAAAATCTAGGTCATAAACAATTTTCTCCAACAGATCTAAAACAACAAACACATCCTCCTTTGGAAGGTTGTTTGTTACAGTTGGTATCGAGTTGGTAGTCCAAAATTTTTCAAATACGCTGCGGTCCCCACCACGCGAAAAGCGCTTCCAGGACTCATTTGGGAAAACAGAGTGGGCCACGAAAGCTGACACAGAAGCAGCACCTAGGGCTTTCAATGCTACACCACACTCGTAAAGAGTCCCCCCCGTTTGTACGAGGTCATCCACAATTAACACCCTTTTATTTTTCGGGTTCCCATCTTGAACCGTGATGGCGCGCTTATCACCGTCTCGAGTCTTTCCACATGTAACCAGTTCAAGGGTTAATGGAGCAAACATGTGAGCAAAACGTTTTGCAGCTCCGTCATCTGGAAAGGCAACACAATCAATTTTTTCCTGTCGAATTTCATCGAATAGGATAGGAATGGTGGTTTGTAGACTAGCGATAGAATTACCGTGAAGGTAGAAGCGGTTTTGGAGCGTGTGTAAGTCGTAGATGAGAAGTCGAGTTGGACGACCACATGATGGCAGATTTGAGAACATCTGCGCATACGTATTAGCCGTGGCAACCTGGCCTTCTTTACTCACTCGTTCCATCGTACCGACAGGATAAAATGGAAGCACAATTGTGAGACTCTCGATAAAGCTTTGTAGAAGCATAACCATAACTTGAAATTGGGAGAGAGTAACGTCGTTGTTGTGGAACGATGCCAGAAATAACACGTGTTCCCCTGCCATGACATTGTGTGGTTGGAAGCCACCGACTTCTATGTTGTCAGTGCCATCCGGAAACTTCCCCCAATAGGTAGGATGAAAACGAAAGCGCTCCGGATACTGTATTTGAAGGCGACGAGCCATAGGCTCGCATACAGGTGCCGCAATAATTTGATAACGTCTTTCTTGTAAGTTTCCCTCCATCATTTCGTTGGAGGGCACACTACTGCGCGCTGCAATTCTGATATTTGGCTTGGTTCCACAAGGGAAATACTTGGAATGTATTCTAGTGAAGGAACCTAGACTTCCAAAAAAAGCGCTCGCGATCTTGTTGCTGTCTTTCAGCGGTGCTGCCGGCAGAAGGTCTTCACTTTGAGTGAAAACTGCCCCCACCAGGGGTGGTACAAAGGCTACCGTGCTCTGTAAATTGACGATGCACAGGGCCTATGCATGGTAACAGATTAAACACCAATCCTTGTTAGATTCGTATCGATTTAATCAATCGTAAAGGAGAATGATACTACTTCCCCCTCAAAGTTACAATGGAATTAGAACAGTCTACAACATGCTCAAACTGAGTAGTTTCCAATTACAACGTATATATTCGGATTATGCGCAGGGCTAGTCACTTACAAGCATAACTTACTAGAATTGCAAGAGTAGACTTCCACGGCGGAGGTATTCTCAGTAAAGCATGACCCACGATCACTATTGTTTTCCTTGCTGTCTTGCACAGGAAAGATCGTGACATTTATCGGCTGTGCATGCGCAAATTAAGTTCACAAAATGTTAGCATGATGCCAGTGGATTATATGATCATATTTTTATACAGATGCAGTATTGACAAGCGTCGCAAGTAGAAACTAATTTTCTTTCACATGGATCAAAGGAGGATTCAAGAGGAGCGAGAACGCGCGCAGGCGCTAATAGTAGGGGGCTAATAAAAACGTTTAAATCTGATATATATTCCGAATCTATACTCAATCAATCCTAGATTTACATTTCTAAAGCGAGAGGCTTGAAGAACATTATATTTTATGCCTTTCCAATGTCTACGCGTTCCTAGTTTCAGGCTTAACGAGTCCTCGTTGAAGTCCAGGAGCGGCCCCCAGCGAGTTCAACGGGCAGCAATGCACCTCGGAGGCAAGTTCAATTTTATAACCTTGTCGTGTGATGTGTGACTCCCAACCTGTTGCCATCCCTAACGTACCAAACGTGCTTCTTTATTTTCAAGGCACGGTGAACCTGTTCGGCACGTGGCTTCTCTTGGCCATACTACCCCTTTTGAGCCGGAGGGGCAATATCCTCAGCCAAGGAATCCTCTGCTAAAAGCTTCCTCACCTCTCCCTTCTCTGCACTGTTTGATCCGACAGAAAACTAGCCCTTACAAAAACGAACTATGCCTTCTCTTGTGACAAGGAATCTCATCCTCTCGCTTGTGCTGCTGTCGTCATGCTCAGCATTTTTGATGCCCAATGCTCCGAAGTAAGTACAGTAGGAACAACGTGAGAATGTGGGATGTTGAAGCGATCGTGGAGAAGCGCAGACGAATAGATATCCGTATCAAATGCATGGAATAATTACAATTTATCATCTGCACATGCATAAAAAATTCAAGACCAACGAGGTCTGTTCTTCAGGTTGGAGAAGGCAGCACTCATGTGAAAGAACTTGTGGTAAGCCCGACAAATAATTAGCGTGCTTAAGTTTCGTTTTCGTCTTAGGAATCATATCTCTTCAAACATTTCTTCATCCTATAATATGTCTTGCCCAGGCGCTTAATCCAGAAGACTATGTTGCAATAGGGTTGGCGATGTGCTACAAAATTAATGATGGTGGAAAGCTGGATGGTACGTGATGCAATGGCAATAAAATGAGGGTTGAAGGATTCAAAGCCCGACAAATTTTGCCTGCTCCATGTTTCATATGACAGAGAGTTCCTTGTAAATCTCTATTATGAAGACTTTTTCGTTTGACTGTCATCAGTGGAAGTCGTGTGACTGTTCTCCCTTTTCACTTTTCACCTCCCCTCCCTGTCCTCCCTCGCTTTCCAATATAAGAGGTTCTTGTGATGGAGCCCCTGACTGCCGGGACATTGGAGTGCCTGGCGCTTGGCGTGCCCACATCCTACAAACGTGTGATGGGATTGACCTGCGGAGAGCTCTTCAATGGCGAGGACCTGCGAAACCCCTCCGACGTCAATATTGAGGCATTGCGGCCTTTGGCGAAGGGCGAGACGGTGTCGGAATGTGAAGATATGTTAATCCGCTCGATGGCGGCCGCACGCACCTTCAAGAGGCGTGTTGAAGCGCAAATTATCCCCCTGGGCGAAGTGGCTGATGATTTTAACTTTAATACAGAGAAGAAGCGGGTTTTAAACCAGGTCTTTGAGCCCTCCTTCGCCGACAACGTCAAGCAGGACAAAAGCATCGACGTGTATGGTCGGGCGGATGAGGACTTCAACGATGAGGTTGACAAACTCGCCAATGCTTAAGTCTGCTCTTAAAATGCCTCGAAGGGGTCTATGCCCGTTCCATCTAGTGAAGAGTGGCAATCGAAGAATCGTGTGTGTGCAAAAAGTGCTGTTCAACGATGAAGAGAGAAAAATCTTTTTTATTGCTAGAGAAATAAAAACAAAGGGGCACGCTGGTATGGGGTTGGGCTTCGTTTCGCAAACTTTTATCTTGAACACTGGTTGGTGGGGCGGCGTATCGATCTTTCCTGTTTACTACCTCCTCAGTCGCCATGGACGCGCCAATAATTGGGACGCGGCTTGGAGACAAATGATAGGTAGATAAGGGACATGCGAAGACGCTCTCGTCCATTCTTTTCTCCTTCCCAAGCCCTCGAGTTTACGGGGTGATGGCAGTCTTTTCCTCTCCAAACTTCTTCGTTGTGTCCCCTCCTTGTCCTTACTGTCACATGCTGATTTTTATTTTTTTTTTCGAGATTAAGTTTCCTCCGTGTCTCCTGGACACTCCAAAAAGATCAAGAAGTCCGTCAACCCGTTGTCTCTCATCTCGTCACTCCGGTAAACACCCACACGCTGATGTTCCCACTTTAAGTCAGCCAAACTGAGAGAACTCATGCTTTTCGCGAGGTCTAAAAATCCGTGCGTAAATTCTTCCCTTATGCTGTAGTTGCCGGAACACGGTAACATTATATGTATAGGCGGAAACATAAAGCTCGGCGACACAAGTCGAAATATTCCTTCTAGGCCAAAGCATGTAGGAACACCACCCAATGACACCTCAGCTGCTCCTGCTTATCCATCCCTTTACTTAGCCTTGGCACCCTTGGCCTTGGTGATGAGAGACTTGTGGATGTGCGGGATGACTCCGCCGCCCGCGATGGTCGCCTTGATCAGAGCGTCCAACTCCTCGTCACCTCGAATGGCAAGCTGCAAGTGCCGGGGCGTGATACGCTTCACCTTCAAGTCCTTGCAGGCGTTCCCTGCAAGCTCCAGCACCTCGGCGGTCAGGTACTCGAGGATGGCGGCCGTGTAGACGGCGGCGGTGGCACCCACGCGCTGGCTGGTCGTCACGCGCGTTTTGAGGAAGCGGTGAATACGTCCTACAGGGAACTGAAGAAAGGTGGAAGATATGAGGACTCTTAGAGGATACGTCCTGTAGCGCTCGAAGACTCAAGCAGCCCATAATGCGATTGCCACTCGGGATGGAGACGGCTGACATGCAGATTGCGTACACACGACTTTCCGTCTTCCTTCCGACATACCTGCAGGCCCGCACGCGATGATCGGGATTGAGGGGCACGTTTGCCACTCGCTCCTTTCCCTCCTTTCCCAGCCTTGCCGCCTTTGCCTGCACCTTTACCTGCGCCAGACTGGTGTCGAGGTTATATATCATGAGCGCAGTCGGCCAAGCACGGTTGATTTTAAAAATCCCTATCCCACTCCTCCAAACCTATAGCGCTCCAACTACTCACCATATTCTTGTAGGAGTATTTTGTGGTAGTATTTCCTGTTACGTCAAGGTGCGTGCGCATGGAAAAGGGAGGGAAATTAAGTTAAGGGAGGGTAGCGGCTTACATTGACAAAATAGCGGGAAATCAGTCACGTTTCCGCACATCCCTCCTATTTCAGCTTATTCACAGGAAGAATTCAGTGGAAGGGCGGCTCGTATCGTTCATGAAGTCTACCGGCGCGCCTCCGAGCACATGAGGGAGACACGTCGAGATAACTCTTCCCGCCAAGACTCCTGAGGTATTTGTGACGTGCAGACCCCGAGTACATACCCTGTTGCCCAACTTATCAGCGTCAAATACCCGATGTTTTATACAGTTGAGCGTTCTGTGGCACTTTAAACAGAATTCGCTTCGAGCAAAAAGCATGCGGATGAGCAGATTAAAAGTGCCTTGCGCTCTACAAGCCGTACTGCTACAAACATGCCTCACGAATGGCATACGAAGAGGTCTGTGATGCGTATGCTCAAACACCAATTGACTTCTAATTTTCACGTATGTACAAAGAATTCTTTTCAATCAGCAGGAGTTTACGATTGCGCTGAGTGATTTAAAACCACACAAAAGTCGGCGGTATGAAGACCTACACGAGAACACACCTCACCCCGCCCTCCTCTCCGAGGGAGGGCCTTCCTTAGATTTTGGCGGGAAGCCCTCTCGGCCCATTTCCCGCCCTCCCCCGCTTCAACCGTCATCACGAGCAGGCCCGCCCCCCTTCCCTTGCTGCTTGCGCCTTCTGCTGCCACACTTGGCGGACACAGCGCCGCGCGATGGAATTCGCAAAATTTCAAGCCCTTTTATCTTTCGTAAATTGTGGGCGTTGCCCCTTTCCCCTCTCACGTAGCACACCATGTTCTTTGTTCTCGCTCTTGGGGTACGTGTTTCTTCGCATGTTTGTGCTACACTACGTCCGGCCGACGTTCGAAAAAAATTATAAAGCTCATCTCGTTACCTTTTTCAACACCCTGCAAAACGTTCACTTGTGAGATTTCTTCTGCATATTCTGCCTGCGATGTGGCTAATACATTCTAGTGCTCTTGAGGTAAGCACTGCATGATGAGGCCTTGAGACCGTCTGATCTTGTTTTAACAATTTCCTCTGTTCATCTCAAGGCTGCCAATGATTTGAGGCCTATCGCAGAGGTCATAGACACACAAGATTTTGATCTCGTATCCACTGGCCCGTCATATTTACAGGATGAGCACCCAAGCGTCGCATCTCTACCCCTTTGTGCAGCCACAGCCTCGGCGACATATTCCCGCTTTGGTTCCCGACCGAATCAGAAATGGTGATGAAGCAAAGCGGGCATCAGACTATTCAAGGGACCCTTAACGACGAGGACTCATCCACATTAGAGCGACGCTGCGGACTGCGCCACTTCACAGCCACCCACTCGTCGAAAAGGGTGCCGTCCGATCCCGGTCAAGAGGGACTGCGCGTCGTGGTAGGCGCCTATCCCCGCGCACCGCGCGTTCAGCAGGTCAGGAGGCCAGAAGAGCTCAAGCAAGCAACCTCGCCCCTTCTTTTCGCAGCAACGGCAAGTGCAGAACTTTGAGCGATATGCAAGCACTTAGCAGATCTTGCCTGTGGTGTGCATGAGCACCAGTTTGGCACCTTATTTTGGAGGCTGACAAAGCCAAGTCTGCGAGTCCGCTATTGGAGCCTCATGCATAGTCGTTGCAACAAAGCTGCATTTTTCTCGATAGTTTCAGTGGGGTCCTTGCTGTCGTCTACGAACCGAGTCGAGAAGCTTTGTCGGATTCCACGGGCCTCTCTGACTTTGAAAGTGGCTCACATTCTAAGCAGCAGCCTCTCCTCTGTTGCGGAGCGAGAGAGCGAATGTTTGCGCTTTCGCCATTCACCGAAAATTGTCTTGGTGTGCGACACAGACGTTTCTGTGTCTGTTGATGACCAGAACCGGCAAGCTCCCCGTGTGGACTGAAATGTGCGCTGAGCGACCTACGAAGGATTGCGACACATGCGAGTGATGCGGCGCCTGACAATTCCTTCACTGGCAGAGCTGCGGACGTGGGCTATGCCCAGGCCTGGTCACTGCAAGAAAGGTGCTGGCGCATTTCAGCATTCATCCAGATGCAGGTCTATGGCAGCAACTTGACTGGATCTCAGGTGAGGACGAGGGAGACCGGCAACATGAGAAGAAAGGGAGAAAGTAGGAATGTGGGAGATTCCAATGTCGTAATTCTCCCACATGCTGTGCAAAGCGCCCTTTCGCAAGCAGCTCCCCCGTCGGCTCCCTTGAGTCAGCCAAGGTTGGCCAGGAGAAGAGAGGACTCGGACTCTTATCGGACGGCGGAACAAAATTTCTATTCCAGAAGGTATGATTGAGGGCTCAAGAAGCAAAGCATCAGATGTATGAAGCTTATGTATGGCAAAAACGCCAATACTCCCACGTGGCAGGGTATCCCATGCTGTTCAATCGCGACAGCCTTGCGCCTACGATCAAGCTGAAGATAAAGCGCATTTTTCCAATTTATCGAGTGAAGACATCATGGCGCTGTGACGCAGCAGAATTGTGGGTGTGTCCTCACGTATTGCATCTGTAAAGAAGCTACGTGAATTCTCGACGGATGCAAGGACCTTATAATTGTGAAAAGAAAACGTATTCGTAGCCCTTTCTTCGTGCTTAACGTACCTAGTTTTTTATTCATATCTTTCTAAAGTGATTCTCGTCATAATCTTTCGCCCTTGTGAAATGTATTATTAATGGCTGTCATAGCAGTCACCGACCCGAGGAATATGATATGCACTGTCAGGAAGGTTAAAAAGAGGTAGAAAAATTGCAAGTTTTTCCGACCGATACATTTGCCTGTCCAAGGGCAATGATGGTCCAAATCTTTTACGCACACTTCGCACTCATAGCAGTGTGAGGCGCCCATAGGCCTAGAGAGCTCGCAACGGGAGCAGGGAATCTGCGGAACGGGGTTGCGCGCACTCGAGAAGCCCTGGGAGGAAGCTGCCAGCGACGTGGACTGATCGACCACTGGTAATGTCGCACTTATACTACCGTTACCACAATCATTGTTATGAAGCACCACTGTCCCACTTTCAGGATCGATACTTCTTTCCTCCCCTCCATTTGGGAGTTGCCAGAAGACAATGCCGGGATCTGAACATGCCGTGAGGCTGAAGAAGAATAGCGTGAGCATGAAGGAGGCGAGCCCCACCCATACGATGACAGAGCTCACGCGGGGGGCTACCAGAATCAAGAAAAAAATGCTTGGAACGCATACCATCGTGTATGTGATGAGCATGCATGGCCAGTCCGGTCCTACCAAACATTGAAAAGGAAATATTCCATCCTTGCGACCGCAAAGCAAGATCATCCGCCCAATGTACTGCGGGTTGCCACTGCATTGGCCGTTCGTGCCAATGAGCCTTTCCTCCCGTTTGCTTGCCCGCAACACGCCGCAAGCTCGCTCGATGGGCTCTGCGTCCAATACAGGCATAGTTAACTACGACTACGAGCAAACCAGCCGTGCCGTGCGCGCCTGCGAGATTCGGAAAAAAAAGCCAAAGAAATTTTGAAGAGAAAACAAAAGGTGAGCAAAGCGTGCGGAACCTTATGTCAATTAGATCAAGAATGATGACAAGTTACGATTTCTTTCGTCCTTTATGTCGTGACAGTGAGATCAGTGAGGGTACCCCTAGCTGCCTCCGGAAGTTCCGCGATTACCGAGCGATGCCGTCCAGACAGGTCTTCCGGGTATCCTCCCAGGCTTGTCGAAACTTTCACGTGGCGACGAGGTGGTGACTTTACCCTCAAATCTCAAAATGTTACAAAAAATAGCTATATAAACCCTGAACATCATATAGGTCCAATATTCGGGCAAAGTGTCACTATTACTCCTGTCAAATTGATGAGTAGCACGTAAATTCCAGCTTACCTGTGACAATCGTTCATGTCTAGAGAAACGAGTAACACTTTGACTGACATCGACAGATACATGTGTCGCCCAAAAAAATCCAGATGTCAATTAAGTCCTTTATGAAAAGGGCATGTAGGACCAACTAAACATTGACCTAATTGTAACCTTAAGAAGAGGAAGTCCTTTTCTATTTTTAGATTTTCATACTAGGGATTTCTTTCAGTGTTTCTGGCTCCCTGCATTAAAGACTCTCACAACATAACAACAATTTTTCGCTTTCTACTAGCTATTATTTGATTGCATGGGTAGCCTGTCATGACACCGCTTGCGGCAGATGCGGATATATGTGTAGTTCATCGCGCGTTTCTTCCAAAGTGTTCGGTTTCCCCCTTCGACAGCATTTTTTCGGGGCCGACAATTCCATTCAACAAGCTGTTCTTCCACAAGTCTGCGCAGCCGATCATTTTGTTGTGGTGTCAGTAGCGAGACGTGCGGGGATACTTAAACTGCGCGAGTCGGTCGAAATCTATCCCGCACACCTGCCTGCTACCTTGTCCCTTTTTTGAAACTTCGTGACCGTCCACGATATTCCATAGTCGAGTCTGTCTTTTTCCCTCCTTTTTTGACATCAAATTTCCCTCGTGGAACGTTAAGCGAATTGTGATCATTTTTCTTTGACGATGCTCTCGCCGACACAGCTTTGTTTTCCTTTCCACGTAAACGGCAAGAAATTTTCTCGTCTCCGTCTGTTTGCTCTTCCTCGTCGTTTTCGTCCCACTGCCAGAGCACATGGTCAAACAAATCAAGTCTTTGCTTCATGGCGCCTGCCAAAAGGGCTTCTAGGTAGTACACCCCCATACCCGCCGCCTTCTGCTCTACTGCCAGCCGCCTGACCTCGATTCCAAGCGTTTTATGCGCCATGCTGCATTCATTCGAAAGAATCAAGAGACTGCTTCTTCTGGTCTTCTTTCTTCGTCCTGACTCCAAGTCCTTAGGTTTGTCGAAAAAAATGCCGCCGGCGCACTCTACGATGAGGCGCAGGTCCCCCTTTGAAGGCACGCCATTCAGCCCGAAGCTTTTAAAGGCAGCCAGGACAGCCCAGCCTTCCAAGAATGGGGCCTTCACGGAGGCGGAAGGCTGCACCGTGGTCCTATCATCAGTCATCTCGTCAGCGCACGTTTTTGGGCCCTTATAGCTCGGAGGGTGGCCGCGAGGGTCCTGTGCAACGCTTAGTTTGGCTGAATTTCGCAACCAGGAGTAGTCAACCAGAGGAAGGCCCAGCGACAGGGCACTCATCACCTTGGCAGTACGCCGCGCTGCCACTCCTGTGGCCCCATCTCCCGCAATAAGGAGGTCTGCTTGCCGCAGGTCGTCCACGAGCGACAGTCCCAACGCTCTCAGCTGCCGCTTCATCTCCGCATTGGGCTCGACACAGGATACTGCAACCCTTCTAATATCCGGCGCATTCATGGCGTTGGTCTCCTGTTCCCCTCCGAAACGCCTGCCTGAAGTCACATCGACTTGACGCCCAGCCAATTCTTTGGTCATGCAAGCTTCTACATTTCGGTCGTTCTCTGCCACGGAAGAAGCAGGGGGCGATGAGGGCTTATACCTCCGGCGCCGCGGCAGCTCCTCCGTTGAAGGATCCGCATGGTCGATCATTCGCTTTTGAGTGGGAGACGAGGCAAAAAAGGAGTCGCATTGGCTCCTTGGGACCGCCTCACTACTTCGGGCTTTGAAAGACAGCCTGCGCGAGGCAGGCAAAGACTCGGCGGAAACCATCTGCTTTCTCCGGACCCTCCTGACTCTCCTCCCATCTTTTGGGGAGAGATCTGCGGGCTCTTTCACACCAGCTGGCTCCTTCGCACCAGCCCCATTCGTACGAGCTGGGGCCCGTCCCGCCCGGGGTTGGTCTCTGTGCGCCACGTCGGAGACCTCGCTCCCGCCCCCCTGACAGCCTCCACTCTCGAAGGTGACGCCCTCCTTCACGTCCTGCTTCACGCGGGCCGAAGGCAGCTTGGCCGCCAGAGAATCGTCTCGCGGGTCCTTTCCCTTTCCCGCACTATCCCCCGCCTCTTCCTTCGCCCCCTCCCGGATCTCCTTCGGCTGCTGCTCCAATGCATCCTCGAGCTTCTCTGTCTCAGGTCTAGTGCCCCTACCTCGCTGAGCTCTCCCTGAGGCATTCGCCCCGCACGCCCACCCTCGGCGCTTCTCCGCCAACGTCCCCCGTTCCACCCCCGCCGGCTCTGCGACCGCCACTGACTTTATTCCCTCTGGCCCGAAGGCCTGCCTCGGCCCCTCTTCCCCGCCCAAGACGGGCGTGCCGGGCCCCGCCCTCCAGCCCCTTGGCACCCACGTCGAGGCGGTGTCTGACCCTGCCATTCCGGAAACCGGACTGGCTCCCTCCACCAGGCGCTCTGTCATGACAGGCGTCGCGCTGTCTTCGTCGCCGTCTTCTTCCTCCTCCGCGTTCTCCCCCCACCCCTCCTCACCGACTCTGCCCTGGTCACGGCCCCTCCTCTTTCCTTCCCCGGTCGGTGCGTGCTCTTCCACATGCAGCCCGCACGTGCCGAAAGGGCTGACCTCCGCCACAGGTGGCCTCTCGCGAAAGACCGACCTTCCCTCACCTTCCCCTCCCTCACTTAGCTCTCTCCTCGCGTTTCCCCCTTCAACCCCCTCCTCTCCCCTCCTCCCCACTTCGCAGCCTCGCGATGCCCCAAGGTCTCCCATTCCCGCGTCCTCAAGGCTCATGCCCTCAGTCCTAAAGCCTTTTTCCTCTTCCTCAACGTCGTCTTTCCCCCCTATCCCTTCCTTTCTCCCTCTCTCTGCCTCCTCCTTAGTCTCTCCCTTCCCTTTTGCTTCCTCACCTTCCCCTCCTTCTTGGACCCTTATTTCTCCCTCCTCAACGCCCCGGCTTCTACCGCTGTCCACTTTCTCTTTCCTCTCCACCACCTCTCTTTCCCAAGGGAGGGGAAGAGCGGCAGCCCGCCCGCCTCCCCCGTCTGGAGACCCCTCAACCGCCAAACCGCCATCGCGGTCACTGGAGACGGACTTCATACCTACCCGCCACCCTTTCACGCCCTCACTTTCCCCCTCCTCCTCTCGCTCGTCCCCCGTCTCCCTGTCGTCCCCGACTTCCTCCTCCTCCTCCTCCTCCTCCTCCCCATCCCCCTCGGACCGGCTCATGTCTTCGCCCCCCGGCTCTAGACTCCCCAAAATGCCGGCGACCGCCATTCTCGCTGACTCTGCGACCTCCAGTAAGCCTCCCTCCGCGTCCATCATGTCCAAAGAGGAGGCAGTGGAGGCGCTCTCTTCCCCGGCACCTCCCTCCTCAGCCCCCCTGTGCCCTCCGCCCATCTCCAGCCTGCTCTTCTCACGACCCTGTCTTCCCTCCTCCTCCTCCTCCTCGATGATGGTCCTATCCACAGCCTCCTCGTCTTCCGCCGCCCTCAACCCCTTTGCACTCTCGCGCTCTCCTTCGTCCACCTCCTTTCCCACCTCTGCCCGCGGGCGACAGACAAAGGCCGGGCGTGACGGCGCGCTGGAGGGAGTGGCCTCCACCACCTGTGTGGCCTCGCCGCCCGAGGCGGGCGTCACGGCCTGGGTGAGGGAGAGAGAGGAGGCTGATGAGAACCGCGGGGAGGCGCGGGACGGTCTCGACGCGTGGGGGACCGCCTCGGGCTCTGCAGCTGCGCGTTCCCTCCCTTCCCGGAGGCGCGCCTCCCCCTCAACTGCCCGCTGCTCCTCCTTGGCAGTGGATTGAAGTGCAAGCTGGGCTTCGAGGGTCCCCAGCCGGAGGTAGTCGCCGTCCCTGAGTCTCGCCAATGATCGGGGCTGGAAGGTCCCGCGGGCTGCGTCCCAGAGCCAGGTCCGGTTCGTGGAGCCGCAGTCCTTTATGAACATGCAGTCATCTACCACACTTATTATGGCGTGGCGCTCTGAAATACTAGGATGGTCCAAAATGACCTTGTTACCTGCTGCGCGACCTGTGAGGTGGTCAGGGAAGCGCAGGATAAAAACATTACATTAGGAGTGGGGTGAAGAATGTCTCGAAAATCTTCTCTTGCCTGTTACAATAACCACCGTTTGCGATGCCCTCATCAAAGCTTCTGTATGATCGGCGCAGAGCGTGCACTCACCGATCGTATTCTCGCCGGATTCCAGCAAGTGCACACCCTTCCGCTGCCCTGGCATGTCGGAGAAAGTAAGACGGGCACTGATCACGCATTCATCGACCGCAGGCACAGTTTTCCGCTCTGCCGTCTCGTTTTCCTCAACAAGGTGGTCGAATCGTTGGGTGCTCATACCTTCCTGCGGTTCACGAGTACGTGGAATGAGAAAAGCGCTTCTGATTGCACTCAGGAAAGCTGGCCAGTCTTCGACATGTGCCGCCGGTGTTCCGAAGGAGCGAGTCGCCGCAGGGCACTCCAGTTGATCGAGATACACTGGACTGCTTTGCGGCATGAGAAGAATTGCCTGGTCGGTGCAAACCACGAAGTTGCTCTAAGCGCCCTACGGCATGAGGGCGTTCACGAGGACGGCACAGGCGTTTTCCAGCCCCGGCGTTTGTCTCCCTCTCCTGAGGCAAACGCCCGCTACCCCCCGTACCCCCCGCTCCAGGCCCT